GGTGCCCAGTGGCCGGGAGTGGCTGGCTCATCCCTTGCTCCACCCGTCCAGCACTCTGAACCGATGCAGAGCCCCGAGTGGATCACAAAGCGAACACCTGCCCGCGCCACCGAGCTGGTCAGAAACGCTGACTCCACTGGCAAAGCTCCCCAGCCATTCTGCAGCAGGACCAAATCACTCCTGCTCCACATGCAGAGGCACCCACCTGCTGCTTCCATGCCACCTAAGGTTTACAGCACAACTTTAATAATGACAGTATTAAGGACCTAAAAACCCGCTCCCTTAGACCAGAGCAGCTTTTAACCAATTTTCTTGGGAACAATGGTGAAAAGAAAGCCTGAAGTAGGCCTTTCTGGGATACCTCCACCATAATAAAAGCTCTCCCAAAACCCGTATTGTTTAGTACTTAGCCAACATCCTAAAAAGCATGAGAGTTTATTTTTTTTGACAAACAGTATCACACAAATACAAACCTTTAGTATTAGAAACCTGAATAACACAAACATTTCTAGAGAAATCTGTGCTCCCTTTTAGGGAGGCTGCTAAGCTCTTAGACCAAAGGGTAACTTCCAGCAACACAAGTTCAAAGGCACAGTTAACTGCTGTATTAAAAGAGCCAAGTCTTTGTTAGTGGAATGTATGCTCTATTACGTTTTCATTGATTGTTTTCTTTTTTTTTGCAGGAAAGCCATTTCTATTCACCCTATTAGCCTTTGCTCTATTATTGATCAGTGTCTTCTATTTTTATCTTTAACAGAGGTAAACAGTCTTCTCTCTGGGGAAACCTGTCTTGATGTCTTCAGTAATTACTCCTGTTCAAGCTCCTTACATGTCAAGAACAATTTCAAACTTTCTGTAAGCAGAACCCATCTTCACTATTTCCTCTAGATTTCCCACTCCTCCTCCTCCACCCACTCTTGACAGCTTCAGAGCGTTTCAGGCAGCTTTCAGAGAGCTGTCCCTGAAATCACTCTAGTCCCTTTCCACAATTCATCAGAACTCAGTCGCGCACACGTTCTTCCAAAGCCCTCCTTCCACTACAAGCTGCAGCTGCCGAGGCTGACTTTAGCCCTTTTCCGAGCAATTGAGATTTCGAGTCACCATGAGCATCCGAACAAGAGCCACCACAACTCACCTACAGTGCAAGAGAACGCAGGCACAGTATCAGCCTCCGCACACACCTACCACACCAGTACATGCACGAAGCGTCTGTCAGTCCATCCAGAACCAAAGGAACCCCAGCACTCACACACCTGGTGCCCACCATGTTACTACAGCCTACTGAGCTCCCAGCCCACCCGGACAGACACAGCCGCGCACACAGTGACACCCACCCAAGGGCACCCAGGAGCGTGACAGCGCTGGCAACGAGGGGCTGTGCTGGGGCGTGTGCGTGCACAGCGAGAGCGGAACAGCTGCAGCAAGGACAGGCTGCGGGGAAGGAGGGAGAGCAAGGAGGCTGCCCGGGGTGGGGGCTGCCCTGGGCGCTGCGGGTAGACGCGGGGGCGGGCGGTGTGTGCGCTGGTACGGAGGCCGTGCCGGAGGAATGTGCGCGGAGGGGAATGGCGGGGGCAGCCCTGAGGAGAAGGGGGCGCACACCGTGGGGGTAACGGGGCGGAGGGTTGAGCGGGGACGGGAGGAGTAGCGCGGGTTACGCCGGGGAACGGGAGGAGCAATGCGGGGGAGCGGGAACAGCGACCACACCGGACCGAGGCGGGGCGCAAGGTGAGTCCGTGGGCGCCACAACGAGCCACCCCCGCGCCAGCGCGGCCCCTCCGCTCCGGCCCGGCCCGCGCGTCCGCAGCCGCCCCCGCCACGTCTTACCGTGCAGCGGGTGGGCGGGCGCGGCCCAGCCCGGTGGGGCGAGGAGGGGTCGGGTCGGGCCCTGCCCGCTGCCCCGCGGGCGGCGCCGGCACCGGCGCGGGGGCGCGGAGGCCTCAGGAGCCCATGGCGACGCCGGGCCCGGCCCGGCCCTCCCTCGGCGCCTGCGCACGGCACCGAGCGCGCCGCCCACTGCCCGCGAAGGGGGAACAGGATGACGTCACCGCGGCTCTCTTAAAGGGGCAGCGCCGCCGGGCGAGGGTGACGCGGCGGCTTCGCGCAGCGGCGGGCGGAGCCGTGCGCGCCCCGGGGCCGGGTACACGGGCGGGCCGGCCGGCCGGCCGATCGGCCAGCGGCTCTTCCCGGACGGCGAAAGGCAGGACTGGCCTCAGCAAGAGCCTCCCCAGGCAGATTTCCACCCGACCTGAGCAGCGCCGATTTCCCCTGAACCCCGAGTGAAACAAACACATGGAGAGGTGCTGGAAAGCAAAGCCGTGCCTCAACTCAAGTCTGAACAAGGCACTCTGAGTCTAAAAAAAAAAAAACAAACCAAAACCACAAAAGCCGAACGAAGGAAGAAAGCAAACGCACCACACCCTAGAACGTTTAATACGCCTGTGTTAGCAAAAGGAGGCGGCATCCTACCCGCGATAGGGTTGATCATTTTGATGATTTTCTCCTTTTCTCCTGATGCACTACAAGTCCCCTTGCCCATCTTGAAACGGATACGAAGCTCCTACCACACATGGCCCGAAATGGCAGCGCATTCCCGTTCTGTACCAGGGCAGAGCTCCTGCCCCAAACACCCCCACAGCTCCTGGACCCTGCCAGACCACGGCTCTGCTGCCTCCCCCACGCGGCAGGGAGGGCAGTGCTGTCCTATACACAAGAAACGTCCCCTTTCCCACAGAAAACAGGATTTACAAGTGAAAAAGTCCAGTTGCATTCTGATCCAGCAAAAACATACTCAAAATGGAGGCAGGGCAAATGCAGGATAGAGGTAACAGCAGAAACCCCCATACCCCTGGAACTACTTTCCTCTTCCCGTTCCTCCTACACTCATCCCTGGAGCTGGAAGACCCATGCAGCAGGGAAACAAAGGAACAGCTCTTCCTGGCCAGCTGGCAAAGAACAGGCTTGGAAAGAATTTGCGAAGTCACCAAGATCCATCATTTATTCCCAGCAGGTGTTTCTGAAAATAAGTTTCAAGGGTTTGACAGAGCCTGGAAGAAACAGGCCTCTCATCAGGATAATGCAGGGATGTGTAACTACAGGAGCAGCAATTTAGAAATAAATCAGTATTAAAATTTAGTATTTTACTGCCAGACTGGTCAGACAAGGAAAGGAGGAGAAACCCAAACAAACCACACCAGCACAGACACCAAAGCAGCAGGTGCCACTCCACAGAGAGCTCAGTCTGTTTGCATCAGGCACTGTGCTGCTGTCAAGTGCCCACGCCCCTCTCCTTCAGGACTTAAGTTTGAAGAAAGCAAAAACAACAAAATCCAGGGTCCACCTCTGTGGAAGCCAGTGCACACCCAGAGCCCACGGCATGGTAAGGCCTATCTCTTTCTCCTCCTCAAGGCCAGACACATGGGATGCCAGAGGCTCATATCCAGGAACCAAGAGATCCTGAATCAGATTTCACATAACTCTCGCCTGTTCCAAGGCTACAACTGCAGAGATCAGCTCAGGTTTATTTTTAGCTGCTCCAGTCCTGTGCCTTTTTTTCCCAGTAATTCTGATCAAACTTGTTCCTGGAATTCAGAAACAGGTTCAGCAGCAAGACCATGCCTCCTGTGTGTAAGATGTGACTCCCAGCAAAGATGCCAGGGCCATTAAAGGAAGAAATGACAGATGCTGGCATCACTTTATCATTTTCTACTTTATTACTTCAAATTAACAACCACGATAAAGCTCAAAAAAGTCCAATATTTACACAGGAAAAAAGTACAAAATCCCCCCCAAAGTTCTTCAGGTTTTTTTTGTTTTTTTAAATTACAAAGTAATAAAAAGTTTTGCTCTTTAATTAAAAAAAAGAGAGAGACAGTAAGAGGGGTAAATAAATTAGGAAAAAAACAGGGAGGAAAAATAAAGTGTTAAATAGAAAGGGTAAAAACAAACAAAACAAAGACTAACCCCACCCTCCCCGCCCTGCCAACAACCCATCGGCTCCACACTACAGTGACAGTGTGTCTGCTACAGGCCATAGGTCGCAGTGGTGATCATTGTGTTTCAAAGCCCCAAGTGCCACAAAGCAGCTTGAGTATTCCTAAATTATATTAAAAAACAACTAAAGTTGGGGGGGGGAAAGGGGGGGGAGACGGGTGGGAGAGGGCAGGAGGGGATTGTGCATGTATTGGTGGATCTTACTTGGGGTTGCATGAGGAGAGAGCGAGAACCATCGCTCTGAAAAACTCCAAACTCCAGTTTCTGTGCGCCCCTCTCTTCTCCTCAAGTCCCACACTCTCTCCGCAGGAATTAAAACAAGTTTTAATTAAAAAATAAAAATAGAAAAACACGCACAGCCAGACAAAAAAAAAAAAGACCCCACTGCAGGGATGAGAAGTATATTTCTCCCTGTATGTCAGCTCCAACAATCCCATCCTCTGTGGGACCAGGTGCCTCTCCAAAGCGATCCCTCGGTGTGTGAGGACCACTTGGATCAGGGAAGGCTGGCACTTCTCCCAACAGCCAAAAAGGAAACCGCAGAGAAGCCACCCAAGGAAAGGAAGCCCGAGTCAATGATTAGGCTGTTGCCACAATTCCCCCTCACAGCTTAAAATGTGTTTAATGCTTGAGAAAATAAATTCTGTTATAACAATAAAAATCAGACTTCTACCATCAATTGTGGCTGGAATCTGATTCCCTCCTGGCACACAAGGCTCCTGAAAAGAACAAAACAAAAAAGACCCAAAAAAATACCTCACCCACCCACCCACCACCAACCCCTGCCCTCAGAAACAAAGGAGAGCAAAGTTTAAGTTTATACGGCTAGAAACCATATGATTTGAAAACAATATTAAAAAGAAAAATTAAAGCAGGAGAGGATAGCCAAGAAGGAGGAAAAAAAAGAGAACTCAAAACCAGGAGCAGAGAGTCAGGAGAGGGAACTGAGGGCAGCCAGTGGGGGCAGCGAGATGGGCTGGGAGCAGCGCAGGTGCTCCCACGCGGCTCCCACGTCGTCGCAGCTCCTCGGAGGCGCTCACGCCAGGGACAGGCGGCCCTCTGGACACGGCTCACACCAGCGCGGGGGCACAGCTCCACTCCTCATCGTTGGCAAAAAGAAATTCTGTTGGGTTTTTTTGTTTGGTTTTTTTTTGTCTTTTTTTTTTTAAGGTTTTTGTTTGTTTTTTGGGTTTTTTGTTTTTTAAAAGAAAAATACAGTGAAGACACTAAAAAGAGAATTCAAAAGAGAGAAAAAGGCAAGAGATGTTAGGAGTAAAAGCTCTTCCCAGCACTTCCATTGCCAGCTGGAGTGTAACAAATCAAATCAGCCCTTTCTTCTACACTCCTGCCTCTCCTCAGAGTTACCTTGCCCATCTACTGTCGTTTCCCCTACAAGAGGCACTCAGTTGCTGTACAAAGTCTTGCACACTTGATTACCTGCTCAGCACCCTCCACCCCAACACTGTCACACTGCCAGAAAAGCATTCATGAGGAAGTAACGAAATGGCTCCCCAGCCCAGCACCTTCTCCACCCTTCCTATCCTTGTGGAGAACTGTAAGCTACCTTTACACCTAAGACAATCTGTTTCCTCAAAGTTTTGGCAGCCAACCTTATTCTTCCCTCTGAAGCCAAAAGACATCTCAAAGTAAGGTGAAAGGAAAGGAAATATACCAATCCCCCATAAGAACATAAAGTTTTAACTTAAGGCTTTTTTTCCCAGCAATTCCCTCTCAGGGTTTCCCAAGCATGAGTACAGGCTCACCTAAGCAAACACTGGTCCAGTGGCAATTGCTCCTCACTTCCCAAGGTGATCAAATGGCACACTTGTCTACAAAAGAAAAGGAAGAGTTGCTAAGGGCTGGAGAGGAAAAATAAAGCAAAAAAGGCACCAAAACAGAGAGGCTGCCTGTTTCTCTCAGAACACCCTCCCTCTCAAGAGTTTACTGCTTTGCTTCTTCAAACCACTGTGGTCTGGAAGACAGCAAGATGAAGGCTTACTCCAAGCAAAGCAGAGAGCTAAAATGGCAGTACTCAGCATGGCCTCCAGAAAATAACAGAAGAGCAAGGGTGTAACTTGGTACCACTCCCCTCACCACATCAGAAGCTTCCAGCTCATGTCAGCTCCAGCAAATCAGGTAAAAACTGCTCTGGGGCCTGTAGACCTAGGACATCCAGGCCAAGGCCAGGAACACTGCAGCAGGAACTCACCTGTGATGCTGAAATCCGTGACACTTCTTGCCGCCCTGTGAGGTCAGATGAGGAGACGTTGGCAGGAGCTCCTCGGTGTAACCTCATGCTGACCTTCCGCTCCCTGTCCACTCTTGAGATTGCTCTGGGGGACGTGTTGCCTGTTGGGGCAGAGAAATGTCGAGACAAGAATATCAGTCAATAGCTTTGGTTTCCAGCCAACAACAGGGGTGGCAGCCTCCCCCAGCTCTCCCACCCCCTCACCGGACTGCTGGATTCGGGAGGTGGGGGTGGAGGCCATGGGCTCGGTGACATTGCGGAGACGGTTGGCAGTGGCTCCGGCAGGTGGGCCAGGGGGCAGTGCTCGTGTGGCTGACCCTCGGAGCTGCCCCATCCTCTCCTCCCGCTCGTGCTCTCGCCGCTCCCGATCCATATCCTCAGGGTTCCGGGCTGCTCCCTGAGTAGAGAAACCCCCACACCACACATGGCTGTCAGGCAGGAGAAACAGCAGCAGCCCCAGACAGAGAACACATATTGCTCCATCATGCCGAGGAAGTGGAGCTCCACCCCCAAAACTCCCCCCACCACCTTCCATTGCACCAAGAAAGGACCTCATTTTATTCCAAAAGAAACTAGATAAGAAAGCGTATTAACTACAGCTGTTATTACAATCCACATCTGTGTCCCAGCTACAAATATAGCTCTCTGCTGAAAAATTATCTCTACCTATCTCTAGCTATAGATTTACTGGCACAAGTGCTCCATCAGACACACTCACTAATACCACAGTAACTATGCCCCCAGTTAGTTACACACCAAACCACTCTGCCTGGTCCCTTTGCTCAGGCTGCTCACCAGGGCTAAGTACAGACAGCAGGCAGTTTCCAACTTTCCTCCCCCATCTCCATGATACAAATTAACCCTGGTCCAGCCCTTTTGCCAAAGACTCACAAATTTAAGCATGTTCCAGTCAAAGACGTAGTCATAGGAGAAGCCTTGGCGGTGGAAGAGGTTGCGGAAGAGCTGCCGCAGGTACGAGTAATCAGGTTTATCATCAAACCTCAGCGAACGGCAGAAGTTGAGGTATGTTGAGAACTCAGCTGGAGAGAGCAAAGAACAGCTGATGGCTGTGGTTTGCCATCCGACCTCCCTGCTCCCACCACGGAGCTGCTGCAGCCCTTTGGCAGCGGCTTGCTGGACCAGGACAGCACAAACACAGAGCTGTGTAACACAGACTGAGCCTGCTGCTGGCACTGCTTTGGCCACCAAAAGGACCCCATCTCTCTTTTTACCAGAGAAAGTGTTATGCATTTCAGTCTGTTGGCTTCTCCAAGCAAGACCTAGCAAGTCACAGTGCCTGCTGAAGGAAGGCAGGCCTAAAGAAGAGCTGGAGACGAGTTTTGGGAAGTTCAACTCTGAACAGAAGTCCTCCTAGCTCAGTAGTCTGTTGTAAACAGTGGTCAGAAGTAGATGAGAGGAGAAAGATTGGGGCAGACACATCTGACACTTCTACTGACACTAGCCCATCACCTACTTTCAGCTCCAGGAACCTCCTGATCTGGATGTAGTTCCTAACTCTTTAGTAATCCTCACACGATCTCTCTTCCACATACTTGTCCTGTCTCTCCTCCAACTCCTCTAAGATTTAAGTATCCACAACATCTTCTGGGAAGGAGTTCCACAGGTCTCCACACTGGCTGTCTGAAGAACCACATCCTTTTGTTTTAAAGCAGGCAGAAACCAGCATTGTTTCTTTCCCAATACAAAAACTGGGGTTACCAAATAATCAGCTCCATCCAAACTTCTGTAGTCATAGCCAGAGAGCAGACTTCTGTCATCTCTCTATCCACCTCTTTTTCCAGCAGACTCATTACTTGGACAGAAATCAACTCACCTCTGGTCATGCTTTTGGCCCTTTCCTCAGTTACACCATATTCTTTGTGAAACAGTGGGATGGACCAGACCTACACAGTGCATGCAGGGAGCAAGTGGGCCATGGGTTTATGCACACTGTTTGGGATCCTTTCCTAGTAATTCCTAATGCTCCCTTTCCTCAGCAGCCACGGAGCACAAAGCTGATGTTTTCACAGAACAGCTCATTGGTGAGTGGCAATGGTCAGCCAGAGCCTACTATTGTGCATGTGACCTGAGGACCAAGACTTCTCTGTTCTCATATACATTACTCCATGTTTACTTACAAAGAACTGCATTTGCCACCTTATGGCCTGGTTATTCCTGGGACTCCCCATTAAACAGTAAAAATTCATCATCAGCAGCATACGCTCTCAGCTCAATGCCCACCCTCCTCCTTTAAAATGCTCACCAGGTCCTGAAGATCCCCCCTCTCAGCACTCCCATGCCCTCACTAATGTAAGATTTGACTGCCCACAAAAACACACTTCCCACTTCTGAACTCAAACTGTACCACAACCACTCCGTTACCCTTCCCATCACCCATGTCAGCAGCACACCATCCTGGTCTGGGGTATTGGCACTGCTCTTTAGGATTCAGGATTCCAGGGGGTTTCAGCAGGTGAACAAGCCAAGCAGCAGACAAGACAGCCATCAAGATGAGAGCACTTACAAGGGTACCCTTTGCAGAGCACCTCGATGGGCGTTGACATCTTTTTCTCGCTGATCCTCTCGTACTTTTGGCGCTTGGTGGCAGCCTTGAGGCCCTGCCAGGGCAGCGAGCCCAGGTTGAAATACATGAGCACATACCCCAGGCTCTCCAGGTCATCACGGCGACTTTGTTCTGTGAGAAGTTACAAAGGGGCAAGGAGTGAGCAGCAAACAAAACTGCTTTGGCAATCACATAGCTCTGGAGGTGAACACTGAACGGAACAACCAACCCTCTCACTTTTCTGATAGATTTCTATAGACAAACAAACTTGTAGAAGACATTCCACAGCAAATTCCTGTGATGATGGTCATACTACAAGAGTTAAGGCGCTCCTCTCCCCATTAAGCCCAACCCACTTCATAACTAATGACTCTGACTACCTCCTCACTTGGACAAGCCCTAATTGACACAAGAATTTCACATCTCAAGAACTGCTGCAGCAACCCTGCCTACTTTGCTCTTCCCAGTCCCAGAGGAAGGGCACCTACACTTCCCCACCCAGAATGATTCTTCAGTCCAGGGATTAGTCATGACAGAGGTAGTCACAGATAGACAAAGCTAACAGAGCTAAGTCCAACACAGCCCTTTCAAACACATCTTCTAATTAAACTGCTGATAGTGTTTAAGCAGGGCAGAAACAAGGAACTAGGGACCCCTTCTTCTGTAGTAAACAACTTTGTTGATAGTAGAAGCCTAACATGTAATGCGCAAAGATGTCTTTCCAGCTTGGTGACATTTTTTCAAGCTGTGGAGGAAAGGGGCACACTTTGAAGAAAAAATTCCCCTCCAAATGAGGAATGACTGTGTAACTGGCATCACTACCAACTCTACTTAGACCAAGGGTTGCCCATAAGGTGCCATTGGAAGGACCTATATTTAGATGCTTACTTATAAAACAAAAGAAACTGGCTCACAAAAAAAACCCCAACATTTCACATTGACCTTGTTCTCTGGAATAGCCAAGCCATTTTAAAGTTTAAAGCTAGCTCAAGAAGGATTTGATGCAGAATCTCAACAACTGCAAATATTGCCTGGTTAACTCCTCCCAACTCCTCCAACATTGCTTGCAAATTCATCTATAAATCTTGCCAAGATTGTCTTGTTCTTGTTTCCCTCCCAAATAAAATAAACACTTTGGAGAAAGTACTTTACATCTCTAGAAGAACAACTGACACAGATAACAAGCAGGCAAAATATGGCTTAAGGGAGAGCACAGGGATAGAGGAAAGACTAAAGAGCTCCATCTATTTGATTAATTTACTACAGCACATTTTGCTGGATTCAGCCCCACATCCTGGAAGATGTTGCAGATTATATACCAGTCTGTGAGCTGTCAGAATCAGATACATGCTACCACCTGCCCCATTCAAAGGCCAGTAGGTCACTACAGCTATCCCTTTTTTCTGTTAGCTGAGCTGAATCATGACAAAAGAGTAGCTGTAGCAGGTCACAGATACGCATATCCTCATGTAACAACACAAGCTGTGGATCACAAGGCTCCTTCTTCCTTGTGAATCTCTCTCACAACCTCCTAGTTGTTTTGAGAACTCAGGGCTAGGCAAGTTAAAACTGTTGAGGGAGAAAAAAGTACTGTGGTTGCAGAAGGACAGGAGGGTCTCATCACTCCATAACTGATAGGAGAGATCATTTGGGTCAAAGCACATGAAACACCACAAAAATGCCACATTCCAAGACAGTAGAGGAGAAAGCAGCCCTGCAGATTCCCCAAAGTGTCTTACTTTGAGCATGCAGAAATTACAGCATTTTTTGACCTCACTAACTTACTGTCTCAAGTTGCCCACTTTAAAGGGGCTAATACTTCCTAATCTTATCAGGCTACTGCCAAAGATAATTACATGACTGTCTGGGAGATACTTAGATGCTATGACAGGAACAGAGAAAAGAAACCCAGTTTTGCATTTAGCCTAAGGTTGGGATACGTGTACTCTCAGAGGGCTGCGATTACTCACCATGCATATCAAATAAACAAAACTAAACAATATTGGCTAATGACCTACATCCTTAGACAGGAGGCATGTGGAAATGGAGTCAGAACACACACCCAGGGCTTGAAAGCACAGGAGACAAGGATAACCTCAGTCCTGCAGTCTTGCCAGCCCTTGACTTATCCATGCTGTAGCTTTATCACCTCTAGCTGTGGCTTCTTGACTAGAGCGTGGTGGTTCCCCTCAGAGGAGTAGGGAAAGGCAGGGCAGGAACCAGAGAAACCTACTAAACAAGCAAATCAGCCTTTCAGGAATAAATCAGGATGTCGCCTCCAAAATCCTGCTTGAACTCCAAACTGCTTAGGGCAGGCTGAATAACACACCTCCACCTGTGTGAAGCACAGCAGTTTTGAGCACAGCCACCAATGCCATCCAGAATAGGATACATTCTGGAAACAGATGTCTGGTCTCAGTCCTAGCACTTTAGGGAAGGCCAGAATTAGAGACTCGAGATTAGGGAGCCTGAAGTCAGTGCAGGATGCTATGAGCCCTCACTGAAGGCAATGAGGGGTTAAAAACCAAATTGGGAAGCTAACTAGTATCCATTAGGCGCATGCAAACACACCTTAGCTGTGTCTTAACACAGCAATATGATCAAGGAAAAACAACTGCAAGCACAACACCTAATTATTAAAATGCTGAACGATAAGTGTTTGACTGCCCTGCACTCCTGATGTTTAGCACCTCACGTACAGGCGGTCACTGCAGCCCACTCACACAACTTCAGCGAGACTCACACCCCAGATGAGCCTCAGGTACCAAGAGGAGGGGTCACAGTTGGGCAGCTACCTCAAAACATTGTAGCAGTCTGTTTCCTGTAACCCTATGTACCAGATCCTGAATTAAACCTTGAGGAGGGTAAAGGACAACAGTTCCTACTTCCCGTTTCTTTGTTTCATCTTCAGTTATTATTACACACCCCCCCAAAATTTAATTACTTTTGCAGGGTGAGGATACTAGATAACATTAAACAGCAAAGAGCAAGAAATAAAACTTTACCTCTACACACCAATGAAACATTACTTAGTGTTACTACTTTCCACTTTTAGAAACCTGACAGCGACTAACTCTCACAGCATCTCTGGGCAGCAGGAAAAAAATAAGATCTCACCTTCGAGTTTGAAAAGAGAAAGAAAAATACAAGTGACGTGAATGCATCCGCTGAGCAAGTCAGTCCAGAAGCAGGATTATAGTCATAGCCTGTGATACCACACTATACTTCCTCTCTCCATTTTATCTCAGCTCTCCTACAATGGGGTTTTTTTTTGAAAACCAATTTTATGAAAAATGTCTTTTCCTTAAGACATTCATCCTCCTTCCCAAAAGCTCTTCCAATAGAAAACACAAGGTCGCCTTCCCACACAACCCAGCATGACCTCCCAAACCCAACCCACAGTTTCCTCCCATCCCCAGCAAGGCTCCCAGCCAGCCCATACCTTCACTCCCTTCCCAAAGCAGGGTCCTCAGAAGCCAAGTCATAGGTGAGTGGCAGGACAGGACAAGACATGCTTGGGCAAAGACCGAAGACTGAGGACTGGTTGCCTTGGACACAAAGCTCATGACAAAACGTGTTTCTCTGCAGCCTAAACTGTCTCCTGGTCCCCCTGTCCAAAGAGTGTTTTCCTCCACTCTGATCCTACCGAAGTGATGCTGCTCCCATGCAGAACTCCCTAGAAATCAGCTGTCTTCCCTGGAGCCAGCCCAGCTGCAGGCAGGCTTAACCAAGCAATGTTTTCCTGATTACATACTCAGCTCTGATCTTGCACATGCTGGACTAGAGTTCCCCTTTCTCTCCCCACTGCATGGCAACAGCCTTTAAAAACATGCAAGAGTCTGGAATGGGTGACAGGGCAGGATGAGCAGGAGGCCTTACGATCTGCACAGCCTACACCGATACCATCTAGGACATTCATCTGGGAAGGCACTGAGCCCCCACCCCTCAGTCACCCAGACAGAGACCATCAGACTTCTCCCAGGACTGTCTCATGGGCACCCCGGGCATCTATTTCAGACATTACAGGCTACACTGGGTGCAAGGGACTCTCATCCCTCGAGCATGTGAAAATTGACTGGAATGCGTGAACTGAAGCCTGCACAGTCCAATGACTCCCCCAACGGCAAGTCTCCAGCTGTGGAACCCTCCCCACTTTTGCCTCCTACTTTTTTCCCCAGTCACCAGGAAAAGAATGTGTTTCCTCCAGACATCGGAATGCCCAACCCTTAGCTTGCAAATTCAAATAAAGGCATTTATTCATTTGCTATTCCTGTCACACAAATACCCCGGCACCTGGTTCCTCCTCTCTCCCTAGACCACATTAACGTTAACATTAAGACAGAGAATTTACTCTCTGAAAAGTCAAAAAATTCCGAGTGATGGTTCCCATGGCAATGCTGCTAACTCACAAATATCTCTGTCATATACCCTGTGGCAAGGTCTTGAGAAACAGGAACTCCAGCTGAAACCCAAACACCCCCACCCCCTTTCCTCCAGGCAAGTCAAGTAACCTTTATGCCGTTCAGGGCAACTATCGGCAACGTGGAGATAATACACCCGAGACCTGTTGCACAGAGCAACTCACACCCAGACTCTCCCCAATCAAAGAGCACGGAGAGAGCTGTGGCTGCACTCAGACCCGTGGCATATGCAATTTGCCCTTGGATTACTGTTTAGACATTGTTTGCTCATCCTGACACACAAGCCAAGCAGCAGTAGTAAAGGGCTAAGTTGGGGTGGAATGAATAATGAAGTCGTTCAAAAGCCACAAGCAGACATTTAGCCTCTCGTGATCAGTTCGAGGCAGAGCAGGCACACACAAAAGAATCGACAGACATAGTAGTGAGAATTATTTTGTGCATGTCTCCTTGTGGCAGTTACCATGGCTGTGGAAATCTTGACTGAGAATTCAATGGAGAGTCAGTTATATATATGCAGGTCAAGCCAAAATACAGAAGGCCAACTCCGAAAGCTCTACAAGAACTATTTTTATAACATGGAAGAGGTCAGGAGATTACAGCCCTGACCAACACACAACACTCCCCATTTTGATTTAAATAAAGCATTCTCCATCTAAAGTTATATAGTATTAAGCAAGGAAGACTGTGGGGAAAACTGCTTTATTTTCTGCAGGCCAAGTATTGACTTCAGATATCTGAGAAATATCTGCAAGAGGGGAGAATGCTGGAAGAATGAGGACATGAAATCCTGTGAAAGCTGTTAGTTTAAAAGATTTGAGTGCCTTGCTCTGATTTTCAAATTCCCAGCTTAGGTTGTACACTTGAGAAGAAGGGCCTCCCAGAGATATAAACAATCTGCAAGCACAGCAGATACTTCCTGGGTCCAACAGGCAAGACAACTTCTGTGTTTCTGTTCCTTATGAGTTGCCAGTCAATAGCAGAACCAAGTCAGCCTGTTCCAAATGGACCCTACAGTAACTAAGGAAGCCTCACACTGTGAACAAAGTTTAGCTTAAATTTAGCAGAGAAAGGAGGTCAAGTGCTGGAAAGAAGTTTTTGGGCAGAGAATAGAAGAGAAAACTGCAAGAGGTTTTCAAATAAGGTCCTCAGAGCCACCAGGGGCTGACTCCCAGGACAAGAGACTGGGTGACTTCAGGAGGTTTAAGTATGGTGGGTACTAACCTGCACAAGGCCTTTACAAAACCTGGGATGATGGTCATCACCAGTGTAAGACCTGGCTGAACACTCAGCACTCTTTTCCAGTCCAGATTCATCCCTTCTGTACTAACCATATGCATTAAGGGGAGAACCCTACTTCCCTGAAGTTGCCTCACTGCAGTTCACAGACATGCATATAATCTGAAGGCCTGTGACAGCCAAGCCTCAATCACAGAACAGAGGTGCTCAGGCAGCTGGAAGCCTCCCCTCATTTCAGCTTCTTGTATATTTCCAGCACATCCCCATACTCAGTGGTGGGTAACACCATATTGCAGTGGGCCTCTATCTTCCAGCTCTGACAGCTACAGAACAATCACTAACGAAGGCACTCAGGAGTCAAAGAGACAGGTTTCAACTGCACATATTCCTAAAGGTTCAGTGCTTGTGAATGTCTCCTTTACACATCTAATCAGCCTGCAAAAATTGTGCAAAGGCAGATTTAGTAGGAGCAGAGTCAAGGAGGTCACAGCCTTGATGCTCAACAGGGTCCCCTGCACTGAGCAGTGCACAAACACAGACAATTTCTATCTTCGGGAACTCAGAGTGCCACCACAGCATCAGAAATAAAACAAATGTAGCATTTAAGTTATTTGCCCACCTTCTCAAGGCAGGTCAGCAGCAGGGTCAGGCAAAGAACCCAACCCCCTCCTTCTGGGGACATACCACCTCCCCTGGAAAGCCCCAGAGAGGCAGCAGCAAGCAGGCTCACCAATTCCCAGGTGGGTGTTGATAGAGGCATAGCGGGCTGTGCCAGTCAGGTTCTTGTTTTCCCGATAAGGGATGTGCTGGTGGGTCCGGGCATCCCGGTACTTCTTGGCCAAACCAAAATCAATGATGTATACTAGGTTGCCCTTTTTGCCAAGGCCCATAAGGAAGTTGTCTGGCTTCACATCCCGATGGATGAAGTTCTTGGAATGAATGTACTCAATACGGCTGATCTGGAGGAGGGATAGATAAATAAATAAACAGTGAGACAAGCAAGAAACAATCTTATTTTAACTGCATCTGTTAAAAATAGTACCCTGACCAAGACACTGGCCCATCAGAGCAAGAAAAGGACACTTTGCATTGAGTATCAGTGATGACAGCCAAGGAAATGGCACCCTCTGGGCGCTGCAGGATCTGGAGATGGAATTTAACTCTGCACACCAGCCCAGTCCTCACTCTGGGAAGGTCACCATGAACATCACAAGGAAAGATGGAAAGCAAGTCTACAGGGACTAAAATATTGAGCTTCAGCATTGACAGCTCTAACTTTTGAACTCAGCTGGTCCAGGAACAGAATGGGTCTGTCCAGAAGAATTAAGGGTCTTGAGCCCAGGGCATGAGCAGTGGAATTAACATAGGTGCCAATAATTCATCAGGCAGGCAAAGGTATTTATGTGTGCAACACTAACACGCAGCAAGCAGCAGGCAAAGGAAGGAGGGATGGAGATAAGGAAATGCCACCAGGGCCTAGGTTCCAGGCCCCCAACTTCATCAAGAAATAGAAAGCTGGCAGCCACTTGTGCTAAATGAAGAAAGCCTCAGATACAGCAGTTCTCAAGCAGAGGGGATGTGAAGGGAGTGTGTGGGGGGAAAAGGCATGGAAAAGGAGAGTAGGCACAAATGCTTCAGAGGAAACTTACCATCTGGTCTGCCAGCAGCAGAACTGTCTTGAGACTAAATTTGCGGGAACAGAAGTTGAAGAGATCTTCCAGGCTGGGCCCCAAGAGTTCCATCACCATCACATTGTAGTCCCCCTCTGCTCCACACCACTTAATGGAGGGGATACCCACTGGGGAAAGAAAAAGATTTAGCCCAGGGAACAGAGAGAATAAATGTTGAAACCCCTGCTAAGAAGATCATGTGTAACACCAAATCATTTCTTTTCTAAAGCCCTCCAGAATAATTTCCTTCTCCAACCACTCCCCCGGCCCCATCCTTTCCTTCCCATCTCACCTCCTCCCTGCATCATCTTGTAGAACTTGCTTTCAATGTGGAGCTGGGGATGCTTGGTTTTGACACATTCCAGTTTGATGGCCACCTCTTCACCAGTTGCAATATTGGCTCCTGCATAGGAATGAGAGCGAAATGAAGATTGCACAAGCATCTACTGAAGTTAAACACTTTTAACAAGGCCTGTAAAGATGCCAAGACCTTAAGATTTGCCCTGAAATTTATTCTCTGTTACAGAAATGAGATTCAGCCACTTCAACTTCATATGGTTTCCAGCACTGCCATTTGTAAATGCAAGCCCAGAGAGAAGCACGTGAATAGGAAACCTGGTCTGATCCTGAAGTCAGTCTAGAACAACAATCCTACACGTGAACTGCCTTGTTATCTCAAAAAGTGACTGACTTTGGAAGGTCAATCTGCACATATCAACAGTACCTAAGCTGAGTGGAAGTTGTAGCTCCCTCTGATCATAAACCTAGCCCCTGAACCCAAGCATCCCTCAGGCAGCGACACGGAGTATCTCTTCCCCAGAAAAATTACTGGTTACCTCAGTTACATCATTTCAACACAACCAATTAGTTCAGGAGGAGACATTACTAACATGCCAGCTCTCTCTGTTTTCTCCACAGCACTGACCTGCTCAATACAGACAATTTCTAAATCCCCAGCTTCTCCCTCTCCTGAGGGTTTTAATAATACCTTTATCTTTTGCCAACACAGAAACATTTGCTATATCACAAATTAGAAGCACGAAAAAATAAGCAAATCCAGTCCTGAACTAAGCTGTCTGGACACCTTTGTGGAAGGTATTGCTAGACACTTTGCAATGACACTAAAGCACCACCCCACACGCTTCTCTTGGAAAACAACTGAGCTGCCAGCTGCAAAAGCCAGCACTGTGGTCCCAAAGTGCACTGTCAAAAAGGAACAGGCTGCTCCTTTTCTTGTACCAGCTGAAAGGATTCCAGATGTTTCACATCATCCTAAAATGGAAAGAGGGAATATCTGTACACGGGTCACGGGAATGACACTCAAGACTTGCTTTTCTCCTCCCCCGCCATACCCGCTTCACACACTCTGACAAGCCCTTCCTCGTATCTGAGCTATCAGAAATTGCACTTAAACACAAATCAGAGAGCAGCCCTGATCACAAGCAGCTTATGAACACTGTCATAAAATAAACTGCTCCAGAACACGTGTGCCAAACATGAGCTGGAATCAAAGGTGAGGTTTTGCAGATATCCCATAGCTAGTTTTGGTAGGTCTGGCTAATTTGTGCCTCCTGAACTCTGTGATAAGACTTTGAGAGTCCACAAGGACAAGCTGCAGATAAATCTCTTCATTTATCCTCTTTCACACGCCGCCTACACAGCCAGGGACCAAAGAAAAGAAGGAAATGTTCACACAACTGGATTGCTTCTCCCCATAGATCCAAAAGAGATCCATCTCTAGCTGAAGAGTTCTGGCTTGTACACAAAGTTAGCCAAGAGCTGCCTGCTAGCAAAAACACATGAGCTAGATGCTGCAGTGCTGGCTTGAGACAGACAAGCTGCTAGGAATTTGCAAGAGAGCAACAAAAACGATCGGGGCCTAGAGGGATTGATTTACTAAGGAAGATTAAAAGAGCTAAATATGTAACATAGACAAGAGATACAACTAAGAAGGGTGGGGAGGAAGAATGGGACATGACAACAGTCTACAAATATTTGAAGGCTGTAAACACTAAGGAGGGAGAGGAATTATTTAGGGTGCTCTGAGGGAGGGGAAGGAGGAGCAATGGGATTAATTTAATACAGATTTTAAAGCAGGATCCAGGAGAAGGGAAAGAGGAAAAGCCATCCTGAGAGGTAGAAACATTTGTCCAATGCTTACTTTTGAAAAGATGCTGGCATTTTCCACTTAAAAAGTGGCAGCCAGAAAAACAAGGCCATACATTCCCTTCACTCCACCAGAAAATCCTTCTTAAAAGCACCAGGCAGGTGCAAGTAGGAAAAGAGTAAGAAAAGGGACTAGTATCCTTCCACTTTTTAAATTAGTGTTCAACCACCAGCCCTCATCCAGCATGCAAACACCCAGGACATCCAAAAAACATAAGAGCACTTCCTTGCCTTGTTTCTTTCCCCTGCCTTTGTGAAGACTTTCCTCCAAATCCTCTGAAGCAGCTCCCTTGTCTGCTCCCCAGGGAGAATTTTTCCCTCTCCCAAGACATTTTCTGACACACAGGCAATGATGAGTCTCTCTGACTTTTTGCAGCATTAGCATTTTGAATGAACCAGATTCCCAGAACATGAACAATGGAAACATGAGTAAGTTTGCATCTCCACATTACCCTGGGTGTTGAGAAACATGGAGATGCATCCATGACTGGGCTGTCTGCAGGTAGGGAGTGTTATCTGTGGGCACATAAAGCTGGAAAAGGGAAAGCAGGGGTAGGCATCAAGAAGACTCAGATTCCTCAAAATGTGATGACGCAATTCAGATGCTCAGATGGCCTTCAGCCCCACTGTTCATAGCCCAAGCACAGCTGTTACTTAGAGAGAGAGAAGAAACAACCCTGTGGCCTAGAAGAGCACAAGTAGAGGATGGTTTGGGTTGGATCACATAGTTCCAACCCCTGCCATGAGGGACACCTTTCACTAGACCAGACTGCTCAGAGCCCCATCCAACCTGGCCTTGAACACTTCTAGGGATGGGGCATCCACAATTTCTTTGGGGTACCTGTTCCAGTCTCTTGCCACCCTCATAGCAAAGAATTTCTTCTTAATATCTTATCTAAACCTTTTTCAGTTTAAATTCATTCCCCTTGTCCTATCACTATGTGCCCTTGCAAAAAGTCTCTCCCAGTCTTTCTTGTAGGCTTCCTTCAGGGAGGGAAGGCTGGAATTAGGTCACCCCAAAGCCGCCTCTTCTCCAAGGCTGAACAATCTCAATTCTCTCAGACTTTCCTCACAATAGAGGTGCTTCATCCCTCTAATCATTATTGTGGTCCTTCTCTGGACCAATCTGACCTATTCTTTGCTCAGAGGGTCACTGTCTGAACTCTTTAGGTTTGTTCCCTCTCCAAACCTCATCATACCTACAAGTTGCTCCCTGTACCATTTCTTGGCTAGAGATCCACCGAGACTGAGAGCACCACTAGCAAGGAGGGAATTTAAGGGCAGGAGTCTTTCTGATCCTTTGTTCCATGCTTCGACCACCATCTTTTTTAAAGCTACAAGTACAAAAGCAACAGTTCTGTGCTGTCTTTACAGGCTGGAAAGCACCGTGTTCCAGACAAATGCAGCAGAGTCTGCTAGCTTCAGCCACTCGAGAGACTGACTGTAGGATGGGGGATAATTCCTAACATCCTCCCCCAGTCTCGCTCCGCTGTGGGGGCTGCACAAATTCAACTCATTCACCACAAGCTCTTTGAAACGGGGCCCCGGGGACCAGAGGATGTCACCGGCTGAACAGGATCTTTTCAGAGTGGAATCCTGACTGCATGTCTGATACAATAAACACCGCCCTCCCGGAGCATCGGGGGCAACAGGCAGAGGCCCCGCACTCCCCACCGCCTGTGCCCCTCTCCACAGCCTGCCGAGGGAAGAATGGAGGGCTGGGAACAGATGGATGAAGGCAGATAGGGCGAGAGAGAGTTAACAAGCCAGGAAACAAAGGGAAGGCACTCCCCTCCCAGCAAGGGAGGAGCCTGCCACCAGGAACTGTCCCCAGCCAGCTCAGGTCCCAGCATGCTTTGTCTGCCCAGCTCCTCTCCAGCACCAGTGTGCATCCCGGCCAAACGATTCCTACACGTCCAGCAACCCTGCCCTGCCTCTTGGCCAGCACCTCTGACAAAGCACCTCCCCCCCTCCAGCGGCCCAAAGCTCTTGGCAATTCCTCTGAAAACGGGGTTTTGCTCTTCTAAACGAGAATTTCTAGAGGTAAACGGGCTAGCCAAGGCCCATGGGCAGCCTGATCTCATTTTCCACCCTCTCAAACCAATGGGGGGAGAATATGCCACCTAGCACACCTACCCCTCAAAGTAGGGCATGGAAGGAATGTGCTTCAAGACCCAGCTAAGGATTAATACAGTCCATCCTTTGTGTCTACCCATGTAAAAATCCAAGTTTCCTTCTGACAGACAAAAAACCTAAAAACAAACCCCAAAGAGGACAGCACTCAGCACCCACTGGTTACAGAGCAGGTGAAGGCAATAACATCCTGAAAGAGAGAAGCTGAGGATAAACCATACAGCCCCTGCTAATCCCTGGAGACAGACAAGCCCTGCTGTGTGTCCGCACCATTATCAAAGGAGAGAGCTGTGAGGTGGGCCCGGCGCAGGAGAGAAGTCCTGGTGAATGAGTCCTCCTGTCTGCAGAGCAGGCTGTGAGAGCACAGCACGAGCCCCAGCGTCCTCCAGACGCACCACCACAGACTGCATGCCCAATCCCTCCAGGCTGGGGAGTCACCCAGGCTCCACCAAGTCTCGCTATCACTGCTTCAAAACACGCTGGCTTGCACCTCAAGGAACATCACAAGGGCTTTGATACTGCATTCAAGTAACTTGGTTGAATCCTGCTGTGCTCACCACACTGGGGCACTGGGCTTCCTGTGTTTGGTGACAGGAGAGGCAGGCACAAACCCCTCACCAGGGGCTATTTTCCATACCTGATTTGCACAGGTGGATGACCTGTGACATGGTACAGAGCAATACAGGATCAGGCCTTTCCATCCAGTACCTCCTTTTTCTCCCCACATGTACCCCAGATGTTTAGCAAGATCCTGACAATTTACACCGTCCTAGAGAGGGTCTGGAATGCTTCAAGCCCTAGCATAGGTGGAAAATGCTGTGTCTGAGCTGTCACCCCTGAATCCTAGCACCTGGGAATTAAAAGCACTGTCACCCAAGACACTAACTGGTTGGAGGGCCACAGAGGAGCAGCATACAGGAACAGGCTGCAGTAAAGGCAGCACACGGTGGAACTGGGATCCCAGATCCATTATTTACCATCTTTGTTCATGTTCTGGATAAAGGTGGCAACAAAGCCTGTTACTGATGATTCCCACAGGACACTTAATCAAGAGGGGCTGCCAACACCAATCAAGAGAGAATAATAAAGCAAAAGGGAACTGGAGATAAAAAACAGAGGTTGAAAATAGACGGTGATTTACAATCACAGGAAAACAATCTGAACTAGAGGTATTCAACGAAAGGGGTTTGGGGAGGGATGGGAAGATGTTGGAGATCCTAGAAGAGGTCTCCTACGATACAGCTGACAGTGCATTAAGGCCAATTCTGAAACCTGATAGTGCTGGTGATGGGGAAAGCCAAGGAGACCCAAAGCAGCCAATGCAGAGGCATCACATTACAGATCGCTCGAGGGTAGTCCTCCACTGCCAGGCACTGGAAATGCCACACCTCAAAAGCAGTGTTGCCCCCAAGCTGCCCAGCAGATGAAGAAACTAGGAAAAATTGAAGGACCAGCAAAAGTGAGCAGTGGTGGATGTACTGGGAAGCAAAATACAATCCAACTGAACAAATTAATAGCCAAGGAGCACATGGCGACCACCTGCAAGAACCCAAAGGGTGCAGACACCAAAGCAGAGGGCAGCCCTTCTGCTGGCCTGCAGGAGCACAGCACAACAGTAGTGGTGAGAACCAGACACAGGTAACGCCAGCCCTCATGCAGGGACCGGGCAGGCCGCTGGGTAGTCTCGCCACTCTGGCCCCACACGGTTTGAGCCAATGAAAACATGAGCAGGCAAGCACCAGGGAATATATCTACACATCAGCACACTGGCTTGGGAGAACTTCTACCCAAGTGATCTGCTGTGGTAACAGGAAACCCAGCACCTCATGGGCTCTGTCCACTGAGCTTCCAGCTCAGGTCATTCCAGACATTAATTCTAAATCCCATTACAGATCTAACAGATCTGAGCCCTGGGACTTCCAGGCTCTCTGACCTGTTTTACACCTCCCGTCTCAGACCTTTCTCTTACAGGTCCTGGACCACCTCTTCCACTACCAGTCTTCCCAAAACTGTATTCCTTCAATCCTTGAAGGAATAGCTATGTCCTCCCTTTCCACCACACGCTCTGTGAACAGAGTTTAAACCCACACACACCCAAGCTCAAGAAAGGGAAGTGAGAACGCTGGAATAGGGTGTATGACAAATATGCCCCAAACAGTCCAAATCTAAAGCAGTCTGATCAACCACCACTGTGTCTTCAGTATGTGGTAAGGCAAAGCTGAGCTCATCCCCCTTTCTTTGCCATGAAAAGACCAGTGGCCACGTGCAGTATTCCATCAGTTTTTTCTCTTCTTCACCCCTTCCAACCTTACATGGTGACCACAAATAGCAACAGGCAAGAAAAACAACCCCAAAACAATGATGCAATTGAGAAAACCAACCTTGAGACAGACTCTCACACTCACCTAGGTAAATGTCTCCAAATGAACCACTGCCAATCTTTCTGCCCAGCCGATATTTGTTTCCCACTCGAAGCTCCATGGTTCAGTCGTGCTACGAAAAGAGGCACAGAAAGAGCAGTGTCAGAGCAGAAACAGGAAGTGAATCATGTAACACTGCGGAAGAGACCTCCCCACTTCACCCAGTGGCTGAGTAGTTTTAAATCTTTAAATACTTCACTTTTTACATGGCTTCTATCACCTCTCCTCATCTCCTGAACTTCCAGGGACAACATGAGCAAGAAACATTGCAGGAACAAAACACCCTCAAGCATGTTTTTCCCATGTTCCCACTATTAGAATGATTGAACCTCTTCCCCACCTTTTTCCTCAGAGACTAGGAAGGGGTTCAGGAAAGCCGTTCTAAGAAGGTTTCATTGTGTGATCACGCCACACTACTGCAAAGAGGTACTGCTTCTTGTACCTTACAGTACCTGGCACTGGGACACAAGTACCTTGTGAGACACAGAAGTGTCAGGCATAATAAACCCTGTGAGGAGTTTCCCTCTGACCCAGCCCTACTCCAACACCTCGGTGGTGGTGGTGGTGAAGCACAGGACCCGAGGGCTGTGAGGGACAGACAGACTGCCAGGAGAAAGCGACTCCATCTCTCCTAGGTGGGGCCCAGGACAGGGGACAGGGAGGAGACGTCTCGCTGAACTGAACCCTGGCTAGGAACACCCCTTGCTCATCTCCATACACTTCTGCTGACGTGATCACCACCTCCTTTGGTCTACCTGAGCCTCTCCAACTCTCCTGCCTACCTTTTGCTTTGAGCAGTTCAGGCTTTTCCTCATCCCTCAACCTGAGATGATTAGCTAACCCTTTGACCTTTGGATATACCCCATCAACACGCCCAGGCTCAGCCTATTCACCTTCCACAGAAAACCAACTAGGTGGAAGAACCACAGCCACAGAGTTTTGTTCTCTTTGCCAACCTCAACTTCTGCTGCAAAGACCTTGGCCAAACACAGCTCCAGCAGTTCCCATCTTAACAGCCCCCTTTCCCTTGCCTCTTCTATGGCCACCAACTTATTCTAGGAACCACATCTCTTCCTGAGACAGACAATGTGTCTCCTTTTAGAGGGATTTGCCACAGTCCTAATTTATGCAATGCCACATTATTAGCGTACAAAATGCAGACACAGAGCCTGTTGGGGACAGGAAAGGTGAGGAATGATTCATGTTTTCACAAGTGGGAGCAAGGAACTTTCCCTTGCTGGAGCTTGGTGGGAAGGAAGCATCACTGAAGGAAATAAAGGAGAAATGGCCTTGTGAGGCAGAAGTACAAAAAAATAATCCCAGCCACAGGATTCTGAGCATACTATAAACCCAGAGCTGCTTCTTCTGCCCCAGGAGATGGGATTACAGAAAGAAGAATGGACGGGCAGCGGAGATGTACAGGGAAATAATCCTATCAAGGCATTCAGGGGACATTGTGAACCCTGAAAGCAGAGCTCCAGTCACCAGAAACCACACACAAAACACTCAGAGGTGGAGTCCCCTCACCTAGCATTTGCTTATGCATGTGGGTTTCTGGGCATCTGAAGTCTACAAAACCCTGTGGCTATTTCTGACTTTCTTACTATCAGGAATGTAGGCAGAGCCTTGGGAACTGAACCAGGAGGCAGGCGTACCTGGGTGAGGGCGCAGCAAACAGACATGATTTTTATCCGCTGCCTGCTGTTCTGTATAACCACATTAACATACATCTGACTTGCTGACACTCCTACTCCAATAAACGATCAAAGGTCTGTGTCCTCGGGAACCCGTCACACCACTGTCAAGAAGACAGCTCTCCATCCTCCTTCCTTCATGGAGCGTTTACCCAGGCCTGGGAACCCCAAACACCTCCACCTGAGTCCAGTTCCCAGCTGGGGTGAGCACAGCCAAGCAGAGACTGGGCAAGAGGTCCCGGAGGGTCTGCGCCGCACTGGGACGCAGCAGGTACTGCTCTGCAACACCACAGTCCCAAACCTAAACTCGGACCCACCCTCCTGGGACAGGCAGGAGCCAGGTTAAGAAGGGATTCTCACACAACGAGGCAGCAGCCCTTGTAGCTGATTAAGCAACAGGCTCCAAAGGGGAATCTAAAAAATGCTCCGGGGCGCGGGGGTGGAAGCGGGAAGCAGGATAATGGAGTAAAAAAAATCATGGTCTCGCACAGCTGTCATTTTGCCTTATCTCCCCCCCAACACACATACACACACAAGTGTGAGTAGAAAACCTGGGCTGAAGAGAGCCAGAGAGCAAGAGCCTGGATTCCTGGTAAGAGGGCAGGACACACACATCCCACCCCCTCAACAACTGGTCCAGGAGTTCAAACATTATCCCATTTGCTTCTATTTCACACATGTAACCCCACCACCATCTACGGTTTCCGCCCTTTATCTTTTCATCCTCAGGTCTACTGTTACAAGGAAAAAAATTGTACCCACAAAATATATATTCTTATATGTGAAATCTGTATCACCCCTCTATGTATTATTTATACATGTTATATTTAAAAAGCCATCCCTCCTTCCCACCCCCCCCCTCCAGCCTTAACCCCCTCCCCAGCCCTGCCACCTTTCCTGCACTCTACAGCCAAGGCAGCATTCCCAGGGGCTGCAGGGCAATCATTTAGTTAAACCATTTAGTTTTCCATAAGGGATTAACACACATACAACCTCAGAGCGAGAGTGTGCTCTGCATGAGCGTTTGCATACGTGAATATCCAATACTACACAGCCTCAAAAAAATAATAATACTATCCAGCCGCCAGCACTGCTTCCCCACACACCATTTTGCACCAGCCCTTTTTATATAATATAAAATACCCACGTACAGGCACAAAGGCCATTATATAAACACACGATAAGAGTTGATATCACATTGCTGTGCCAGCAACGATGGCGACCAACGATGCAGGGACCATCGGGGGTGGGGGGGGGAAACCATCAAGAGGGGCTGGGGGACAGGAGGGACACCTCTGTCCCACCCGAGGTGGTCGGGAATGAGAAGATGCCCTGTCTAGCAAAAGCCATACAAAACCAAACAACCAAACCTTCGGCTCCATAATGGAGGCTGCCGATCCCAGCACTGCTCCAGCTTTCAGTGGAAGTGTAGGGAGTGGGGTCTGCTTTACCCATAGACCACATTAAGGCTTTACACGGCTTTTTTTTTTTTTTGGGGGGGGGGGGGTGTTGTTTGAAGGGGAAAAAGGATAGGCTGGGAAAACAGTAATTTGAACTGGCTTTAAAATGTGAAGGAAAAACGAGAAAAAAATACATTTTGATTGAAATGCAAAACACCAATCCCCTCCAGACCCTTAGACACTTACAGAAAGGAGACCAGCATATAAGATGGGGGGAGAAAAGAAACCCCAAGCACAGAGCATTTGAACTACATTTGAGGAAGAAATAGCCACAACAGGAAAACAGGAAAGGGGGGACACACACCATAAAATATAATAATAAATGTGTCCCTTACACCCCCACCCCCTACAGGCAAACACTACGCGAAGACAGCCGTACCCGAGCTGTTATTTTTCCGGGTAGGTAACAAAAAGCTGCCACCCCCGGGAACGGCGCTGAACTTCTCCTCGTCCCCCCACTCGCACCCGGCCTCGGCCATTGACCCCCGCCCCTACCGCCCCCCACAAGAGGAAACATCGACCCCACAGTCCCTCCAAACGCAGATACCGCTTCTCCCCCGAAAGAGGCGGTGACGGGGGCCGGGGAGGGAGGCCAGGAGCATCAGCGAACGGAAGGAGTGGGGGGCTCGATCCCCCTGGGGGCGGCCCCCCACCGGAGCCCCGCAGACCCCCGCCGAGAGCACACGGCACCCCCTTCCCCGCCCGGCCCCGCCAGCGGCCAAGCAGGGCCCCGGCAGGCGGAGAAAGGGGAGAAAGGGGAACCCCCCCCCAAAAATCTGCCGGTGGCGGAGGGGGCGACCCCCTCGCCGCGCCCCCACAAAGGGGCTTTTGTCCCCCGCGCCCCCCCGGCCCGGCGCATCGCGCCCTGCCCTCCCCTCCCCCGCCCCCTCCCCCTCCCTCCGCGCACACAAAGAGCCGGAGGGGCCGCCTTTCCCCCGGGGTTTGCGCCCCAAGATGCGGGCGGGCGCCCCCCATACCCACCCTGACGGGAAGGGGGCCGTGTGGGGATGCTGCTCCGCCGGCTGTCAGGGGGCCAGGCGGCCGCGGCGGGGAGGATGACGGAGGATTGGGGAGGGCTGGTGGCGGCCGTGCCCGGCGCGTCCCTCCTTCGCTCGGCTCGGCGCGGCGCGGCGCTGCCTGCCGCCTCCCGCCCGCTCGCCGTCCCCTCCAGCCGGCGTGTGCTCGGCACAGCCCGGCGCTCACCCAGTTTCCATTGAGCCCCGGAGCCAAACCCACTGATGTCACCCAGCGCAGCCCCGGCCCTCCTCCTCCTCCGCCTCCTCCTCCGCCCGCCGTTAAAGGCGCAACCGCCGCCGCTCCCGACGCCTTCCCGCCGCCGTCCCTCAGCTCTGGCGAGCGGGGCAGGCACACACGGGCTCGATTTTGGGGGCCGCGACCCCCCTAAAGGTTTCTCCTCAAAATGGAGCACAGCCCACCCATGGCAGCCCCCCGCAGCAGGGTGGCCCCGCATGGGGATGGTCAAACGAGGGTGCTGGGCCCCATCGCGCCGGCAGCCGATGCCGAGCGGGGGTCCGTCGGGAAGGCCCCACACTGTTCAGGGCTCCTCAGGCCCACGCCCCTCAGGAGTGGGGATGCCCCTTGGGTGAAGCACCTCCAAATCCGCACAAATAACGAAGCACGCACATAAACCCTAATGTGGACAGACAAAGGTCCACAGCGCACCCACCAACAGATGGGTGATAAGGTGGGACTGCCCCCAGACTCTGGGGTGTTTGCGGGCCAGGTGGGCACAGCAAGTCCCAAAGCACCTCCAAAAGCCAGCTGAGTTAGCGGGAGCAGCCAGCATGTATCAGGCCTATATGGGGCTACAGGAGCAAAGCCTGGGGTGGAGAACTATTTGGGGGCTTCTGGGATATGGGGGCTGGATGTGCAAAGGAGCCAGTGGGGGTGCTGTGGAGAGCTCTGGGAGCAGGACTGCAGGAAAGGCTGGAGGCCAGTGCAGTGTGAGCTGGAAGGGACAGAGGGTCCTGTGGAGCAAGAGCCAGATGCTGCCCAGCCTTGGAGGCACCAGGATGCTTCACCAGGGTCCAGGAGCTGCTCTGGGACAGGCATGCAAAAATCAAGAACCCAGTTTCTGCAGCTGGAGATAAGTGTGATGGGGAAGGGCTCAGGAGCCCCCACACCAGATGAGCCCTTAGGTGCTTCTAAGCCAGGCGCCTAATGTCACCTTCCAAATACAGGATGCAAGCACAAGTTGTTGGCACCCAGAGGCCCAGACTGCAGCCGTGCTGGCACTGTGTGCTGCAGAGAGCAGTCATTGCTCCAAGTCATACCAAGATGGGGGGCTGCAGCCTTCTGAGCGCCGCTGCCAGCCGGTGCCTGTGCTGACTTGACAGTCCACTGAGACCTGGGAATTGTTCCTCTTTTATGCAAGCCTTTGGGAACCAGTACTTCTTCCCTCTCCCACTGCTGGGCCTGCTTTATTACAGAACTTTGCCTGCACTTGGAGAATTTAAAATTTAATTGAGTTTTTCGTAGTAACGACATTTCCTTACACATGCTCCATTGAGCCTCTGTTTTTTCACAGCTTATGTAACAGTGAGCAGATGGGAAGGCAGGTAATAGCATGCAGCCACTGCTGGATCCAGCCGAGGGTTGCTCTCCTTCCCTGGGTGGCTGCACATCAGCGGAGAAGGGATTTGCCAAAGCCCAGCGCCGCTCGTGACTTTGCTGCAAGTGCCAGGCTGATAGAGGCACTGAGAGAGGTGGGCTCTGACACAGAGCTGGGGAGGATGGATCTGAATCAGCATCCCAGAGAAGCAGCTCTCAGCATGCCCCACGGGAGCAGAGTTTGGGGTGACACTGCTTGGCCGGCAGGTGCGAGGTCTGGGAGGACAGTGGCCATACCCACTCTCCCCCTGTTGATGACTGAGGCAGTGGAAGGGAATTTGAAGAAATCCCCAACGTAGATGCAGCCCTTGGGGATGAAATTGGAGTGTGTACGGACACTTCAGCTACCTTTATTTTAATCATTGACAGCTTAAAATAAGAACTCTTTAATTAGAAACATTCCCTTAATTGAATTGTAATCAAGCTTTTAGTGCTGGCTAGCCATGTGATCTATTAACACCCACCTCTCTGCAAGCATTGCCTAGTTACACCTCTTCTCATGGAGTTTTTATTCGGGAGCCTGGGCCAGGGGCTGCTGATTTTGGCTATGCATGTAGCAGCCAGTACTGCAGGGACCCTGACTCCATCAGGGAAGTCATTGCTTCAGCAGTGCAACAGGTAACTTCTGCCCCAGTGTCCAGAAAAGGAGGTTGTTATATATGACACAAACAGCAGGATCCCAACTAGAGAGAGACCACCTGGGGTTGGGTTGGAGAGGGAATAAATTTGAGGGACAAGCAGAATCCATGCTCACAAACTCTGCTGGGCCATCTCCTTTCTTCCCAGTGATCAGAGTGGTGGGTAGCTGCAGAACCTTTTTTTCCTCTGTGCACCTCTCCAAAGAGGAGCAACTCCTCAGGTTAGCACCGTATTGGGCGCCAACCAAGGTACACTAAAGACTCTGTTCAGACAAAAGTACCTTGAACCTGTCTAACCCCCCAGACCCAGCAGTGAGACACAGCTCACACATTCAAAACAACATTCCCAGATGGGGCCCTCACCTTGTCCTGTCTGCCTGGTTTTCTTGGAAGGGATCTTTGGGTGCAAGAGCATGGAAGGGAGTCCAAACCCCTCAGCTCAGCAACTGGGGCCCTGCACCTGGGACAGCTCGTGTCACCTTTCACAGGATTCAGATGTGGTCAGGGCACCCCTAGATGCTGCAGGGAGTGCTGCTGCTGAAGGCAGGCAAGCAGAAGATGGGCTGTGTTTGGCTGCTGTTCACACACAAAGGTCCCTGGGCTGTCCCCAGTGCCCTCATTGCAGCGCTGTAGAGGGAACCCACAGCAAAGTGTCTTGAGCAGAATCTTGTGGGTTGGTGTATGCAAGGGGGCTACACCTCACTGGGCACCCAGCCAGCCTCTCCACTGCCCATCATGTCATTCCTCAGGTAGGAAAAGAAAAGAAGGGCTAGAGTTGTGCTGTTTATTCACAGTGTCATGGCTGGGTGGGTGGCCTTCCAGAGTCACAGTACATGATATTCATAGCACCTAGTAAAACTCACAGGAAAGCTGAGCTCCAGTGACCTAGCAGACCTCAGAGAACTGCCAGGTCACATTTGGCAGTTCTGCCTGATTAACAAAGAGCAGAATCCCATTTCACCCACTCTCTGGAGAAGGACAAACTGCTTTGAAGACCAAGATCAGTTTGCCATAGACACTTGTATGTGCTAGGGAAGTGTGAGCAATCACAGAAAGAGCAGAGAAAATTTTGACACTGTGCTGAGGTTCTACTTCTCCAAGGCCAGTGAAAGTAAGAGCTGAGAAGCTAGAACAAACACATTGCCACCTGCAATTCAAGAGCAAAGGTACCTGAGGAGGAAGGTACCTGTGGCTTGACACGTCCAACAGGGCTGCCAGAGCTCTTCAAAGCACTGACTCACAGCTCATTGAGGACGTGCAGCCCCCACTCCAAAAACAATGATTGATGTTCACAGGGTCTCTTTTACAGCATACACCTAATTTCTCAGTACTTTACAAATAATAATAGATTTGCCTTTTCAATACTCATACTGAGCAATACAGCAGCATTTTAGAGAAAATCCAGCCCTCCTGGAGGGAAGGTCAAATGCAGCCTGCAAGGTGGGGATGCTGATCTGGGCACTTTACCAGAGAGATCTGCAGTTTAAAGCATTTTCTAGAGTCAGGTGCATGTCCCCCTTCACATGCAGCAGGGAGCAATAAATACTCCTGCAAATGAGACATCAGGATCCCAGGATGGCACAAGGCTAAAAACAAAGCAAAATGCCAGAATAAATAAAACATAGCTAATAGCTACCTCTGAAAAGATTGCTGTGAGTGACTCGCTCCGCATCAGGTAGGAAATCCGCAGCAAGGGCAAGGATCCAGGCCAGCACACAACTGCCTCAGCAATGAGTCACTCTTTTCTCTTCACACTTTTGGGGAAAAAAAAAGCCAACCATAACAAAACAAGACAATAACAGAAAGAAGAGATGATGCTGAGTCCCTGCAAAGAGCCTTCTTCATGACACAGCCCAGACTCATCCAGAACACCATCTAACCTGTGTGCTGCAAGTGTCCTGTGGAAAATAAATCTGTGACCACATAATTAAAGACTCGACCGTAATTCATATGCACGAGGACATTGAAGGGCAGCTGTACAGCCAGCCTTGGTGCTGGCATTTCTCAGTGATGAGAAATGTGTATTCTGATAGAACAGAAGCAATTGCCTGTTGTCATCAACAAGGAGCAGGACTAGCAAAGAGGTGACATGTGCTGTCGGGTGACATTTGGGGTAACAGCACAGGAACAATAAGAGTTGGGAAGAAGACTTGGGAAAAGACCCTTGTTTGGACACTGGAGAAGTCTCCAGTCCCAGAAACACAAGCTGATATGGCTGTATTATAGCAATAGCCCCTTTCCCAAACAACCCAGCATTTCCTTGAGGCTCATGGTCTAATCTGCCTCCCAGTTTCGTTTGCTGTTCCCCAGATTTTTGGTTCTCTCCCTTGAGTTTCATTCAAATCAGGGAGTTTTATCCACCAGGCTCCCCAGAAGGCAAGAGAGAGGTGACTAGGAGCACAGGGCAGAGGAAAGCTTGGAGAGATGCAAACAGTGCATGACACATAACAGCAGCTCTAGAAGGGAGAGCCCTCCCAGTTTCCCCCGCCAGTGCTCCACCCTGGGAAAGCCCATATGCTGTCATGACACCCTCAGAAACCAAAAGGGTTGGGCAGGTTAGAAAAGGTTGAAAAGCTTGTAGGTGTGAAGCTGTGACAAGTCTTCTTTCCATGTTTAACAAAACCGTGTAATTTGTCCGTGCTGGTGGGGGAGAACAGTGGAGCTGGCAAAACACAGCCACCATGACACAAAAACTGGTGTTCTGCCCAAGGCCAAGCCCTGGCTTGAAAGCCCAGAAGTTGCACAGTTTTTGTCCCCTGGGCCATGTATATACATAGTCTAGCCCAAGAAAACTACTGGTGGGTCCACATTTTCAAAAAGAACTAAATAGCTGAGACAATAATTTTCTATGGAAAATTTCTGCACCAGTGGTGAAACTTGGACAGTTACAAGCAAGTGAAAACAG